AAATTTCTATTTTTTAAAAATAATGCAATTGCAAACTGCACATGCACTATTAGACTTCTGGAAAAAAACATGGTTCTACAGATTTAGTACACTTCTATTTGTGTATTCAAAAAGAAGGAACATTTTATCAGTGACAATAGAAATAATTTTTGTCTCTTTAAATACTCCTAAAATTAAAAAATTTTCAGAATCCATTAAGTCATTTACACAAAAGCAATATATATTTTTATATAAAGATAAAATTTACTGCTTCATTTTTGTACTTCAAAGCATAAACAATTTATTTACACTTCAGAATTTTTTATCATCAAAGCTTATTTAGCATAATTTGAAATATAAATTTCAAAAATACATCAATACATCATCAGTATCGAACAATGTAATACTGCATCAAAATTTATAATCATGTTTAATATTTCATAATTAGATGTGATTTGGGAAAAGCATAATGAAAAATTTTCAATTACCTTTCAGGGAACAGAATAATCAATATTGAATGCCGAGCATGGGCCAAAAATATTATATATAGATCCAATTTTAAGGAGAAATCTGGAATGACACGCTTTGAACTTATGATCGATGAATGACAATATCTGTTTTCTTAAAAGGAAGTTCAAAACTATCCGTTAAGTTAGCAAACATGGTACATGGAAAATGTTCAAACGCTTCAAAAACTGTGTGAACTATTTTAGTTTCAAAACTACGGTAATATTCACAGAAAAGAAGAAAGAATTAGACAAACTCAAATCTTCAACGTTTGGTGGTCTGAAAGAAATTGACATAATACCTTTTGCTTTTGCTATGTTTATCATGTGGTAAACACTGCATTAAAACATAATAAGTAATACTATTGGGATTTGTTAATATTATAAAAATAGAAAAATAATAATGCTATGTAGGGTGTTTCTAGACAAAATTTGACCATTCAATTTTATATAATATAACACCTTTGTATAACTCCATTAACGAAAAAAAGAAAATCTGTATAAACATACTGACCTGTACTTACTATATATACAAATATTATATTACAGCTTTAAAAATATATTATTTCCAATTCAGAAGTAAACAAAATAGAGATAATTAATAGTCACTAATACTTTTTATATTGAAAACATTTGATTGAATACAATGAACTGGATAAAAATTATTATAAGCAGAAAAAACTATGTGCAGATACAATACTACCAGTTTCTTTCATTCTTACACTTATGACCTACTACGATAAAAAGTGAAACATGTAAAGAAACACATTACCTCATTATGGTTCTAATACTGTCCATTTATACCATACTATGTACATAAAACTTAAGATATACTACAACTAATTAAGTTGTATTTTACTCAGAGTGAGTAAAAGAAAAAACTAAACCAATGAATTATAATTTAAATATATTAGTCTATCAGTTAATAGACTAAGTAGCAAAGTACTGAAATGTTTTAAGATTTCTTATATTTTGTGTTTGATAAAAAGTATATCACATCTGTGGTCAAACAGCAAATTATAATATATGTACCTATGTTTTTGTCAAAGATATATGTTTTTTTATAAGAATGTAGATTAAAGGAACATCACGAATAAGTTGATTTAACTTACATTAATCATTACATAAGTATTAAAACACAAATTTTTAAGAACATTATGATGTTTGATAACTGAATAGTCATCAAAATTCATGCTTTGATATTCCGAAAGCTAAGTACACATATTACATGTTGCCATTTGATTAATATTTTAGTACATGCCACAATTCATTATCAACCAGAATAATGTTACTTTCATTATAACATAGTTATAATATTTTATATTACTACTTTGCAAATTTTATGACACTAGTGAAAAATATAAAAACACAAACAATGATACAGCAATTTCATATTGAAATGTAGTTCTGTAAATACAATGTTCATCAACATGAATATTTTAAATGTTACTGCAATTACAACTTAATAATATTATTCGTAGTTTTATCACTGAAAAAAGTTTTTTTTTAAAATCAGAATTTTTAGAGAAAATTTTTAGAGAAAAAAGAATATGTCGTTTTCCTTTATAAAATATGCACATGTGATATAAAAACGATATATTTTAAATGAACAAAATTGAAATCAAATATGATCGCACAAAAATCACAGAATAATATGATAATATAGAATATAAAAGAAGGGTACAAATGTCAGAAATATGTTTCGGTGTAGCTACTTACTAAATGTATGTACTTATATCGTTTATAGTGTTTCCCATAGAAGAGTGTTGTAATTTATGTCAGTAATGATAACAATGTATTCTGTTAAATAAATAGAACAACTTTTTGAACTGAGTAAGATTTGAATAACTATTGTATGTTTTATTATTACATATTTTGTATCAATCAGCATAGATTCATAGTTATTAAAAAACATTTCTTGAAATAATTAAATCTTAAATTCAATTAAAACATATTTTACTTAACCTGTAATTCTAATTGCGAGAATCTTTCTTTAACCAGACTCCATTTTAAGCTGTCAAATTTTCATTGAAATTTCTCCTGGTAAATCGAATTTCATATTAAGAAAAATTATAATATTCACGTTATGACGTATTAACATCATTTCATCTTATTTTTTTCGTAAATAAATATTTTACAAACATAACATAAAAGGAAGCATATATATTTCTTTACCTCCATTGAAACCTATAAATGGTATTTTGCATGCATATTTGAATTAACCGATTATTCATTTTTCATTCCGAGATCTGGGTTAAGATAGATTAATTGGAAGTCTACTATATTCTTTTTAAGTTTCTGTATTTTTTCTAAAATCAAATTCAATTATTTATTTGTAGTGACTATGATTTAGAACTGAAAGTAGTATTAGTAATAAGAAATTGTACCTTATGGAATGTAAATTCCGCATTGTAATTATGTATTACATATAAAGTTCCACTTATTAATAATATAACTTCATTTAAAATTATTTTCTGTATACATATTAAATATGTTATACTAAACCATTAACAAACTACTATTTCACACAGGTTAGCACGAGTGATTAATTTCACCTATTTAATGAATAAATAATGACATATTATATAATATAATTACGTAAAAAGCTTTAAAAATGTTTCTTCAGAAATACGTACCTAAGATCTTCATCTTGCATAGGATGAGTATTTTGTATTTTAATGTATAATCATGTATGTATATAAATTCATTGAAATTCAAGTATTATAACAAAAATTAATAAAAATTTGTTATTTTTCCATGCGTTATTCAGATAAATAAATGTTTCTAAAAATTATGTATGTAGCTCAATTTGTCATTCGATGATATATAGTATTTTATAATTTTCTAAGATATTTATTTAAATTGATTTTTT